AACGCAGCGCGGGGTGAAACCCTGCACGCGTCGCAGCCCTGGCCCTGGGACCTTGGTGCTGCCGAAGGGCCATGGCCACCTGGGCCCCAGTCCCTCCTGTGACCCTGAGTGGGGAGCCCCCCCGGCATTGGCGACGCACGTGCACCCGCGCACCCCCTGCAACAAGGCACCGCTGACACTGCGGGCGGCGTCTGTGGGCGGTCCCCAATCACCGCTGGTCAGCGCTTGCCACCCCCCGCGGCCGACGATAGCGCCGTGCCCCCCCAGCAGGCGGCATTCATGCCTGCAGGCGAGGGGACAGGGGCAACTTCCACAAGACAAGCCTCAGCTTAGTGCACTTGAGTCGTGAACTGGGCTATGTGGCCAACTGCGGCTGCAGTCACTCCAGGGGAGGTGATCCTGCTCTCAGGCGATCTTCCTGAAACAGTGCTGGGGCTGCCCCCATGCAAAGCTTAATTTTGCAATGGCAGGTGGCTCCATGCACCTTTGCCTATGCCTCTGAATACAGAGCTAGAGCTTCACTAAATATCAGTGACCCTATCTGGCCTAGATCAGTGTTTCCCAACCTTTTCCAGCCCAAGGCACACTTACACTAATAAAAATGTTCCGTGGCACACCTGTTAAGGCATTCCCCATCCTCATACCTATTGTAGCTCATCGCCATGGCAAAATGCCGGAGCACACCTGTTAATTTCTGACAGCACACTTTTGTGCTGCAGTGCACTGGTTGGGAAACACTGGCTTAGATTACTCCAAGTATCACAACAAAGCAAGCGGGGCCTTTGCCTAGACTGTCTGGGGCAGGGCACTTTGCTTTTCAGGAACATATGGCAAAAACTTCCCTTAATGCTCATGCCATTCAACTAGAGACATGGCTCTTCAGTAAGGAACTACTTGTGAGTTTCTGTGATCCCATTAGCCATTTCTGACTTTATTGCTGTTAGGACCACCTGTGCAAGACAAGTTGTAAGGTAGAGTCCAGACAGGAGCAAACCTCCCAGTTCTTCAGGTTTAGGTTGGGCATGGGATTAGCAGCCTCATCCCATTAAAAATATTTGTCATGGAAAGAGAGGAAAGATTGCACTAGTCACCGACTCCGATCCCCATATCACTCCCAAATAAATGAGGAGACATAGCTACCAAATTTGACAAGAAGCTGGTATTTTAAAGAGCCACTTTTCCAGGTCTGCTATAAAAAAAAATAAAAAAAAATCAACTTATTGTGGCAGAAGCTTTTTATCCCCCCACAAAATGATCCCAAACACTTTGGGTATCTCCAGATGACACAACAAAGACTCAAATAGATCATTTTTTGCATTTATAGAAGGTTTTTCTCATCCCTTTGGGACGTTTGGGAATACAGTGCAGCAGACCTGTGACAATCATTCATTATCTGTGCATTGCTAGTATGAACAAGCATGTAAAACTCATCCGGCCCCATGGATTGGATAGATGATGCCAGGGTGGTCTACAGGTGAGGCTGAGCCCATGGACCTCCCTGCTTCTTGCCCCATGCCTCATGCCAGATCCAGCACAGGCATATCTTCTCTCCGATCAAGGACTGTACCACATGCAGCATGAGTCCCAGACCAGCCAGAACAGATGTTGCATGCAGTGCAGGTCCCAGGAAACACACCACACATGGCATCCACTCCAGCTGGTCTAGCATCCAAGTTACACATGGTGCCCATTCTTGCTTGTCCAGGATGCTCCACATTCAGCACAGGTCCCACAATGGGCACAACATGTACTGCAGATCCCAGAGCAGGCGTTGTGTGAGTGTGCATCCCAGGCCCTGTGTGCAGGGCCAGTTTGTCAGTTTTTGGTAAGCTGGACAGGGCTCCGTGGGCTGGATGCAGCCCACAGGCCATATCTTTGTCACCTCTGATGTAGATCAAATGACAAAATACCCACACATGGAGTGGTCCAGAAAATATATATTTTTCATAGTTACAGACCCCTAAACAAGAATAGAATTTGAACTCCAAACAATTTTTTCATCATTACACAGTTAGAGTCCTTCTTTGATAATTTATAATATATGGACACCCATAAGAAATGCAAATGTCAATATGGCTAAGAATATGTTGGGATTCTGCAGGGCTAGGGGGAAAAAATTAATACAAGGGATGTCATTGCCAGAGGAAAACAGGCAAAGATAAACTTTCTCAATGTTAACAGACAAGGGAAAATTAAAAACAAAGAGAAAAACAGAAAAAAAGATTCACTAGTAAAATGTTCAGCAAGGAAAGAAAAATGTGACAAAATTACCTTTCAAGAATTTAGAACAGCTGTCAACAAACTCAAGACATATAAAAAAGCAGCAGATTGCAGTAAAACAACTGCAGACATGCTCAAAGTAAGCAGTGAAGGGAACTTGACGATTCTACTGTGACACTTCAACAGTCTATAGGAGAAATAACATACAAGAGAAAAGAATAAAGAAACCATCATAACATCTCATAAGGATATTT